AATAAATCATTTAGTGTATTTTATGCAGTAATACAGAATCAAGACAATTTTCTGTTTAAACAGACCCATTGCAAACATTAGCTTTTAAAGCTTAAAGTGTCATAAGCAGTTTATGCATTAGATTGGAAAATCTTGATCTGACTGCTGGAATTTTCTGTGCTTTCTCTTTGTATGAGAGTCAATACCAGTATATAGGCATGAATTTTCTAGGAATTTGTGTAAAGTCTTCTGGCCTTTACTTAAAATATGATTATATGAAATCATTCATTTAACATTTATGATAGATATAGTGAAAATACTGAACAGTATTTTGTTTATTATGTTGCAGGTCTATGATTTGAATTAATATAAAAAATTTAAAAAGATATCCAAAGATATTTGAATTAGAAGGAAATAAAACCAGAATATATTTAGTAGTAGCAAGAAGAGGAATTCAAAACCATCACATTGAATTTAGGATTCTAATGAAGTTAAGTCTTGTTTTTTGACTGTTGCTTAGGATAGATTTCTAGAGTTTTACTTATTGTATAAGAATACAAACTTTAAAAATATTCTTCCTATAGATAGATTCTTTTCTGGAAAGATCACGTGCACACGTGTATGTGCTGCAGGGGACCGAATCTAGGGACTTGCACATTCTACGTAAGTGCTTTACCACTGAGCAATATCACCAACCCTGGAATGACTACTCATTTTTACTTCCATCATCTTCATCCCAGCATCTCTGTTCCCTTGCACCTTGATAATGTAGAATATTATTATAATTACTATTCATCATCATCATCATAATAACAATAATAATGTTTTTGGAGACAGGTTCTCATTATGTAGCCCAGTTTGGCCTGGAATTCACTGTGTAGTCCAGGCTGCTTCAAACTTCTGATCCTCCTGCCTCAGCCTCCCTAAGTGCTAAGATTGTGGGTGTGAGCCACCATGCCCTGCTGGAATATTAATATATTTTTTAAATCTTTGCTAATAATAACAGATTTCATTTACCAAGTTCTTGTCCAGGTACCATATGAATAAACTAGTATAGCTTATGTCATGTAATTATTGGGAAAAGAAGCTTGGAATAATTAAGTCGTTTTCCTTAAAATTAGAATGCTAAACTGGGCATGATGGTTCATGCCTGTAATTCTAGCCACTGGGGGTAGAAATTGGGAGAGTCTCAGTTTGAAGCCAACTGGGGCAAAAAGTTCATGAGACCCCCATCTCAACAAATAAAAGCAGGGTACAGTGTGATGTGTCTGTCATTCCAGCCATGTTGGGAAGCATAAATAGGAAGTTTGGTTCCAGACTGGCGTAGGCATAAATGTGCAACCCTACATGAAAACTCCTAAGCAAGAAGGGCTGGGTGTGGCTCAAGTGATAGAGTACATGCCTAGTAAGCACAAAGCCCTGAGTTCAAACCCCAGTACCACCGCCAAAAAAAATAGACAGCTAAGAAGTACCAAAATCACATTTAGACCCCAGTCTTTGATTGCAAAGCCTACAGTTACTAAGCCTTATGTGTATTCTTGCTTCCCATATCATAGTATACATCTATCCAGTCTCTTTCATATTGCATTATTTCAACAAATAATGTAACCTTTCTTTTCTCACTTCTGAGATGACAGAACTTGGACTGGGGATGTAGCTTAGTAGTGGAGCGCTTGCCTCATATGTGTAAAAATCTGTGTTTTATCACAAGCTATGCCAAAAACCACAAGAAAATTCTTATCTGAAATGGCAAAATTTCATAATAACTTCCTTCTTAGTATGCTCTTAGTTTCTTTATAAATCTGACTTTCTCCCCCTTTCACTATCATTTGTATTGTGTCTCTCACTTTCTCTCGTACAGTACTGGGGTTTGTACACACAGCCTCACACTTTCCTAGCAAGCCACTTGAGCTATTCATTTGCATTTCAGATAGGGTCTCACACTTTTACCGTGGCTAGACTCTGGCTATAATCGTATACCTGCTGCGTGCCATCATATCTAGGTTATTTTTGATAGTCTCTCTCTAACTTTTGCCTGGGCTAAGCTTGAACCGCCATCCTCCTATTTCCACCTTCTGAGTAGCTGGGATTACTGATGTGTACCACCATGCCTGGCCCTGAATTATTTTTGTCTTTGTTAGAACTGTGGCAGAGGCCAAACCCTTTTGGGATGCTGAGTTTTGTATACTGAAACTAAAGTACTTGATTTATTTTTTCACTCAAAAGAGAATATTCCCCTTGTATGACAGAGATGATCTCTGTCTTCCTTTCCAGAATACAAACTAAAATATAAATTAAGTTAAACTCTTGACAACTTTGGAGACTAGTGTTAGGCAATGCTTAACAAGATGTGCAGTCAGATAAATTTGGGTTATGCTACACACTGATCTGTCTTGTCAAGCTACACATTTAATCTGTTTGAGGCTCTGAGAAGTATTTCTGGAAAGAACCTTTTTTAAAGTTAGTTCAATAGCATTTCACAAACTTACTTAAGTGCATTATTTATTACAGTATCTTTAGTCTATCTCAACAGCAACTTTCCTTTTAAAGTGAGGCATTCTCTGCTGATTCTTTAAGAAGGTTAGGAAAATTAATTCTGATGATTGCTGTTGTTTATTTCAGTATCTTTTAGTTGTGAGGGAGAAATATATCTATAATAATTAATCATATACTATAAATTAGTATTATTTCATGAGTCAGGAAGTAAGTAATCTCTAGTTTCTGGAAATAATTTATTTTACAAGTGGATTATTGGATTGGTTTTCAAGAGACATGAGTATCCATTTAAGTTTCATTCTGTTTATTGGTAACTATTTAATGTTATTTCTCCATTATTCTCATCTGTGTTTTTAACAGCTATTTTTAAATGCTAACAATAAGGTGGCAGACAAGAACAAGAAAGACCTTGCCAACAAATTATTGACAGAAATGAATGAGGACCAGGTATCTACAAAGCCTGCATCTTGTTTCAGCTGAAGTCCAAAATCAGTCAATGGGAATAACTATTCCTGTGCTTTTCTTCTTATTTTTAAAAAATGCATAAATATTATCTAGTTCTAATATTTGTTAATTATTGTTGGAGGTTATTCTTAAATTTAAATAAAAATTTCTTTCATCTAAAGGATAAATACCTTGGTGGTCAATATAAGTGATCAGTAAAACTCCATCTATGTGTGTGTTCTTTTCAGTTTGAGAAAATCTAAAGTACAGGAATGGGATCCCAGTATCAATGCTGACCACCTGGTGGTGACTTCTTTTTCTAAACACTGGTGTATTGGGACCTTAGGGCTTTGGTTATAAATATGTATGGTGGTTCTTAATATTTTGATTCCTTGCTTCTTCTTGATAAGTAATGATTGTAATTCATTGGACAACCTGAATCTTGGAGGAAGGAAAGAAGATGCTGAACTCTTTGAATGTTAATTTAGCATGCAACATGAATTTATTTCTGTTCTAAAAATTCAATCCTGTGTGGGCATAATAAAACAAAATTATATCATTTATGTTGCTTGTCATAACACATTAGGTAAATTACTTAAAAAACTACCTGTAAAAATTTCTTTGCTATTTTCCTTTCCTATAATGTTTTTGAGAGAACTTACATGTCTTTTAACATTATCTTAATGTCTAGGTTTACAGAGTTGTCATATAATCATACTTATTTTCTGTTCTAGATGTGAAATATCAATACACATAGTACTGTTTAAGATTTCTCTGTTGTGTTTAGTCTCTCTTGAGGCCTACTTATATAGATTAATCAAGCAATTATAATATTCTCCTGTAGGTTTATATTACAATTCCAAATGATAGATAGAATGAGGTATTTGGCCTTATTCTTAGAAAAGTCTGACACGGGTCTTACCTGTATGAAATTCTGTATGCAGAATGTTTAATAGTGTTAAACTCTAATGTGTAGTACATATACATTTGTTTATATTCTATCTAATAATATTTAACAAACAACATCAACAAAAACCAGGTTTCTAGATTAAATAACCTACCTAATTATAGCTTAGTTTAACACTAAAAAATCTAAATAGTTCCCTGTGTACTCAAATCTGTTCTGCTGGGAGGTAAAGAAGAAAATCCTATTTGTGGATTACTAATTTCAGTATTTCCTAAAGTAGATTTTCATGACTTTTTGTTTTTATAACTTTCTTGTCTTCGTTCTATGCTTTCATAGTTGACTAAGCAATGTATAATAGTCACGTTCCATTTTTTTAAGATTTGATATTAGCTACACATGCAGTGCCCTGAAATTTAACACATCTCTTGTTCATAGTGAAGCTTAAATAGTAATAGATAGAATGGAGGTAGTTTTTTAGTTCTTTCATTAAACTTTTGGCATTAAAGGTTGCCTTTCCCCAAACCTGGCAATGCTTATAGACATTTCATTTTCTGTACCTGTCTCAAAAATTTCATATTGTATAAAAATAGATACACCTTATCTATTATGTAATAGATATATCTATTATATATTAATGTATTATTATATATGTAATATATGTAATATATAATAATATAAAATATAATATATTAATATAATGAGTAATTAGTATATGTACATCCCATTTCAGTTTTTTAATACAGAGTTTGGAATCTAAGGGAAGAAGTTTATTTTTGTCTCATTATGCATGTTACTGGAGTTTAAGTCTAGAAAGTTAAGGTGTATATTTGAGGGGAAATTGAAGCAGAATTTCCAATTATAGCCCTCCCTTCCTTCCTCTTGAGATTGTCCATTAGTTTTCAGATGCATGTATTAAGTTTGGTGGGTTTTTTTTTTCTCAGAACATTTAATGTAATGAGTGAGTCTTGACTTACTCATCTTGACATGTGGCATCTTTTGTTAAGTAGGTAACTTTTCTTGCAGGTTATAGTATTACAGAAGTCCATTTTATAAGAGGAGGAATGTAATGCATGTCAAGTAATTATTTTTTCAGGTTTTCAGAACGAAGGTTTCCTAAGTAAAAAAAAAACTTCAACACGTTTGTTAATTTTTTGCCTTGTTTTCCTTCTGATAGGTGTTACAGGGCCAGTTGGACTGTTTGGCCATATCAACTATTCAGGCTTTGACAGCGGTAATGAACAAATCTCCAGCTGCTAAGGTGAAACATCTATCTCTAAGCTTCAAAATGTCTTCAGTGTCCCAACTTTTCCTACATAAATCCCAAAGTGATATGTGAAAGTATATAATGCATATGGCTTAATAGCTGTAATGAAATAGTTCACAAAATATCTTAGCATAAAAATAAGGTGCTAATAATTTTTAAGACAAACCCCTAAGGACACTCCAGGATTTTAAAAGATACTAGTGACAGAACTGTACACTATTGGAGATTTCCAGTGTTGGTCAAAGAATGGGAAGATAGCACTGGTGTTGAGACAGTCATTTTGTGAGTCTATGATTAGTGAGTTCACAGAATTATGTTACAGTTTTTCTTCATTAGTAATTAACTCTTTAGTTAATGACACTTAGAATATGCATATTTTCCACATGTATTCCGCTATATCTATTTAGGAGTTGTTTTTCCAGGTTGTTTAGCTATGGGAGTCTGCTTATTTGTTTGTAGTCACTGACCCTCAGGGTTTTTTGTCACTTCTCACTCACTACCTCTGAGGGTCCTTTAGTTCAGTTATGCTGGTAGTTAGCTCACATGCTGATAATTACCTCATTGAGTAGTTGTAGGATTAGTGAGATCATCTGTAGTGTAGTAAACAAACTGACAAGCATATGATAAGTATTTAGTAAATGTTTGCAGCATTATTGCTACTTGACTTTTTTATCTTCCACTTCTAATATGCCTTACCTTTCTGGTATCAGAAATGAATTAATCAAATTACTTCCTATTTCCTGAGCCATGCCTTCAAGTTGTCCTTAGTTTCTCTTGGTTTGTAGTAGGAAATTCTTAACTTTTTCCCTAGAAATGTTGCTAACTTGTGGTTAGGTTCCTCTTGAACAGACTTTTTAAATTTTGCAATCTGGCTTGTGACTTCACTCTCCATTTAATAATAGTTTCTATAAGGAAGAAATCACTTGAAGTTTAAGTAATTGCTTTATACATATAATGTATTTCCTGTGCTATTTCTGAAATTCAAACCTAAAAAGATGTCCAGGTCATTACCTTGCATGGTTTAAAATGCAAAAGGTTATGTAACAGTGCTGGAAGTGCTATAGCATTGGCTTAGTTAGTATAAAACCCTGAGTTCAATCCCAGCAAAAACGAAAAAGAACTGTATTGAACAGTACAAATCTAGGTATAATCCCTTTATTTGGGGGCAAGATGGCAGATTGGAAACATTCTTTATTTGACTCCATGACTGAGAGGAGTCAGAATAACAAAGGAGATAAGATATTCTGAAGAAAGCAAGAGAAGGAGAGAGGAAGAGCATTGGAAATCAGGAAAGAGGTGACAGAACTGCTGAAAACCATGGAAAAACAGGAAAGGCAAAAGAGAAAAGTTGAGTCTGAAGCTCCAGTCCCTCTCACTGGGGAGGGGGAGAAGAAACCAAAGCCATACCACAAAGTAAACCAGGTGGCCCTTGCAACAGACTGGCAGTGTTAGCCACAGGATAAACCCACACTTCCCACAAGCCTTAATCTAATGTGGGGATTTGGTGTGACAGTGACTCTTCCTGTATGGCAGGCTAGCATTGGAAAACAAAGACATTTTCTTGCTCTTCCTGTGTCTCAGTGCTATAGCCAGGCACTATCTTGTGAGGGAGGCCTATTGTTTGAGACCAAGCTACTCTGGGGACCTGAAAACAATGGACAATAACAGTTCAGGGAGCTTGGGGACACCTAAGGTTGGGTCGGAGATAGCCACAAGAGGGATGAAAAGGGGGAAGGTCTGACATGGACCCCCTGAGAAGTTTAAACATTGTGGGTTCAGATGGTTATGGGCTAGGTGGTTGGTGGTCCTGCCCCTTCTGACAAGGAGTAAGCCCCATCATCTTAAGGATCACTGTGGAAATAGATCTCTGACTCTGTGGCTGGAAGATTGCTTGGCCTCCATCTCCCATATGTATAGGTTCTGCTACCAGGTAGACTGAGAACTCTGAGCCCAGTTCCCTGAGAATACTCCAGCTGAAAGAATACAAGTGATTACAACCTGCACCCAATGACTTGGCCTCTTCTGTGCAAATCCCAATGTAGAAGCATAACAAATATGAAAAAATAAGGCACATGACTCCCTCAAAAGCTACTAACTCCACAATAATGGACTCAAATGATGAAGAAATTAATGAAATCCCAAAAGATTTAAAAGAATGATTATAAGAATAATCAACAAAATTTAAGAGGATCCAAATAAACACCTGAATGAAATAAAAAAGAATATAGCTAATTAGCTGAAATAAGAAAGACAATGCAGGATATAAAAGAGACATTCATTAAGGAAATACAAGTCCTGAAAAAAAATAAAATTGAAATTCTAGAAATGAGAAGCTTAGTAAAGTCAAATTAAAAGCTCAGTTGATAGCCTCAGCAATAGACAGGATCAAATTGAAGATAAGACTATAAGGGCTTGAAGATAAGGCAACAAATTAGAATATTCAGGCAGTAGTAAAGGAAGAAATAAGAAAGTACAAATGGAACAAACAAGATTTCTGGGACATCATTAAGAGACTAAACCTAGCCAGGTGTGGTGATTCAAGCCTGTAATGCTAAATGGTTGGGAGGCTGAGATTGACAGGATCACAATTTGAGGCCAACCTGGACAAAAACTTCATGAGACCCCCGTCTCAACCAATGACTGGGCATGGTGGCATGTACCTCTTATCCCCAGCTATGTGGGGAAGCACAAATAGGAGAATTGGGGTCTAGGCTGGTTTTTCTTTAGAAAAATCCGATCTCAAAAATAACCAATGAAAAAAGAACTAGTAAGTGGCTCAAGTGGTATAATACCTGTCTGGCAAGTTCAAGACCCAGAGTTCCTCCTGCCCAAAATTCAAGAAAACCCAAACTGACTTGTGGGCATAGAAGGAGATGTAAAAGCTAAAAGTATAGAAAATATATTAAATCAAATAATAGCAAAAAATTTCCCAAGGAAAGAGATGGTCATCCAAGTAGAGGAGGCTTTTACAGCACCAACCAAACAAGAACCTCTCCACGTTATATTATAGCTAAAGTATTAAGTGTGTAAAACAAGAAGAGAATATCAAAAGCTGCAAGAGAGAAGCACCAAATCACATATAAAGACAAACCCATCAGAATAACAGCAGATTTGTCAAGGAGCTCTAAAAGTCTAGAGGATATGGAATGGTGTATTTTAAGTCCTGAAAGCCACACCTCCCATCCTTCACCTAATTTATTAATTACAAATCAAGTTATGAAAGTGAAGGAGTTGCTATATGCCCTTATCTACAAATAATAAAACAATTCTATAACATTTAGGACTAATTTCATTTATTTTGCATTTTGATAGATTGTTATAACTATTACTCTGGAAAGAATATGTTACCTATTTTAAGATGAAAACGTGCTGAGTGTAGTGCCATCCATCTGTAATCTCAGCTACTCAGGGGTCTGAGGAAGGAGAATTGTAAGACTAAGGCATGGCTACATAATGAGATTCTCTCTTAAAGAAAGAAAGATGACCATGTTATTTAAATGAACAAAAATTGAATTCATACTCTTTTAAATATGTTAATTAGCTTAAATAGGTGTTCAGTATTGTTAATATTTCAATACATTTAGTCCATGGAACTGTGGTTTCATATATTATCTTCCCCTGCAGGAAGTATTCAAAGAAAGAATTGGTTACTCACATATGTTTGAAGTATTAAAATCTCTGGGTCAGCCACCACTGGAATTGCTTAAAGAACTTATGAATATGGTGAGTTTTTAACCTTTATGAAAACAAAAATGTTTCTTGTCTCCATTTCAGAAATGGCAGTTAACCTTTTATCTTTCATGTTGCTTTTCAGGCTGTAGAGGGTGATCACACTTCAGTTGGAATGTTGGGCATTAGTAATGTCCATCCTCTCTTGCTTCTTATCCAGTGGCTTCCAGAACTACAGTCCCATGACCTTCAAATCTTCATCTCTGATTGGCTGAAAAGAATTTGTTGTATTAATAGGCAGAGTCGAACTACTTGCGTCAATGCAAACATGGGAATTAGAATCATTGAAACCCTTGATTCCCATTCTTCCCTCCATCGAACTTGTGCTGAGAACTTGATTGCAATCCATGGTTCCTTAGGGAGTCAGTCAGTAAGCGCAGAAGAAATCCGTCGACTACTAAGATTGCTGAGAGTGGATGAAACTGAATTTATTCACCCTTATACTATTCCTGTGACTCGAGCAATCCTGACAATGGCCCGAAAATTAAGTCTAGAGAGTGCACTGCAGTATTTTAATTTGTCACATAGTATGGCAGGAATCTCTGTACCTCCCATACAGAAATGGCCAGGGTCTGCATTTTCTTTCAGTGCTTGGTTTTGCTTAGATCAGGATCAGTTGACTCCTGGCATTGCTAGCAAAGGAGGAAAAAGAAAACAGTTGTACAGGTAATGGTACAAATTGTGTCATATAAATCAGTATTGTCATAACAATATATTCCATCATTCTTAAACAAGAAAAAGTATCTGTATACATCTAGTTTTTAAGTTTACAGTAGTTTATAGTTTATTTTCATTTTTTGATTTCATGCAATTTAAAGTGCTTTATTGCTTTCTTAATAATATATATATATATATATATGTATATATATAGGATATTTTGCTGATTAAATCCTGAGGCTAGTTTAGAACAAGGTTCTTTCTTAAAAGTAATGGAAAAGAAAGGAATAATAAGCATTAGTGATAATCCCTCTATTCCAATGAAGGTGCTATATGCTTTTATAAAGCACCAGAAAACTGGTGTACATGTAATCCAGACTTTAGAAGCTAATAATTAATAATATGCTTTGTCTTTTTGTGTGTGTGTGTGGTCTTGGGATTTGAATTCAGGACCCTGTGCTTGCCAGGCAAGTGCTCTGCCACTCTAACCACACCTCAAGCACTTTTTTGCTAAAGCAAAAAAGAAAAAAAGATGCTTTAGCATCTTGCTATCAGCTTGGTTCTCCTATCTTTGGCCTCCCATGTAGCTGGGATTACTAGCACATGCCAGCATGCCTGGGTTATTTTTTCAGTTGGGGTCTTGCTAACTT